TATTTACTGAGAAAAATGTTGACGTGTTCAATACTTATTTTACCCGCTGTATATGTGTGTGTGTGTGTGTGTTTGTGTGTATTTATAAAGCAGTCAGGACTAACTACTGGTACTTAATGTGTAAATAGAAAACAAAATAAGAATAATGGAAGTTTTACTAATGATCTCAAATAAAGTTCAAGTTAAAGTCAGATTTTCGTAAAATAATAATTTTGCGTTGTTCTATTATTTCCAAGAATTTAGTTATAAGCTCTTCAAATGGCTGGAAAATGCATAGTTTTTATTCTGGCCCTCCCGAGAGCTGCTTCACTCCACAGCATGAACAGGTGTTCCTCATTACTGTCAGCAGATGTTGGCCGGTATGGCATTTAGACTTATAGTCTTGTTTCAAATTAATTATATTGTTAACTTCTTAAATTGGACAACTCGTTTTTCTAAACGATAAAAAATAATATCAAACACAAAACTGTTTAATTTGGTATGTGAATGTGTGGAAACTGGCAGTGAGTTTAAAAAAATTGCATAAAGGGTGCCACCTGAATTTTTGCCAAGGACGCCAAATTGGCCAGGGCTGGCCCTGGGTGTGGTAGTAGGTGAGAATCACTTCAAGCACTCACTGTTCACAGGTTACACTTTCCTTCTGTCACTCCAGAAACTGCTGAGCTCAGTCTTTAATCTTTGTTCTCCAGTCCCGATTTAAATCACAGAAACAGACTGTTCAGCTGTTGTATAATTTCCAACAGGGTGTCAGGGTTGGTCTCACAAAGACTAAAGTAAACACACAATTGTAATCCCACGAAGAACTCAACACTGACACGCTCCATTTGTCTGTACTCTAACTTCCTCTGACTTACAGTATTTATCCCGACACTACACTATATCTGGGTTTTATGATCATATCAATGAATGTTTTCAATAAGCGTGAAGACAAAGACTAAAACAGCCCATAAATCACTCCCTGAGTACATCAGTCCTCCTCTGTAACCCTGAGATTGTCGGATGATTGCACAAAAGCAGCTCCTGTAAGATTAAAGGCTGATCATGTTATGGTGCCACAGCAAGTTTCCTAGAGCCCTTCGTCTGTCGTACGGGTCTAATCCCTGGAAAATCCTTTATTTTCCTCGGTACACCCAACACACACACTAGTTCCAGCCTTAATGGAGACAAAAAAAAGTGTAGTATGTAAATGAGTGTAGTAAGAGTAAAAACTGCTGCGTGTGTCGTCACAGAGAAACAATTTTCTTTTAATCCAGAGGCAGTAATCTGAACAGAATGATGCACAGCAGACAGGAATGACGCATTTTCCMATAAGGCCGTGCTCTGGATGTCTGTCTGTGGCCCTGCTCAGAATAATAGGATCGCAGCAGAGTTTTTGGAGAAAGCAGCAGGGGGGCAGTGGTCCGCTGACACTCCAGTTAATAGACAGATGCCTGTGTTCTCTGAATGTGTATTCTAAAACTACATGTTCAATTAAAACTAAATCTGTTTTAGGGTGTCCAAATCATTGACTTCAAACAAATATTACAGTTTTTATTGATTGGTTTGACGCAGCCATCAACTCAAAAACCACATTTTCAAAACATTTAATGCAGAGGCAACACCTGTGTCAAAACATTTAAAATATGCAACAAACGCAAACTTTGCCTTCAAACAACTCAACTTTGACACAATGTGTGAGCACCTCCAAACAATCAGCACACAATGGGCAACAAAATACAAAATACAGCACGTGTGAATCAGTGCACCGTTGCTTGTCATTGTAGCCTATGACTGTACGTAGCTTACATGCCAGTGCCGTCTGTAGTCACATTTGCCCTCTTGCAAAAATGCATCCAGAAGCAGATATGGTTTGATGCAAATTTTATTGATTACATTCTTTTTTCAGACTGTACCTGACAAATGAAATACAGTTTTTACTGATTGCTTTGACCTGTTCGAAGAAACTCATCACCACCTCAAAAACAATCAATAAAAACTGTATTCCAACAGAGGACACATGGAAATAAAAATAAAATCCTTTACTGTGTGAGAAATTAGGTAAATAAAATACAAAATCTTTTACAGTAAAGAACAAAAATCTGTAGTAGGCCTTTAGATTATATTAGATTAGAGTAGACATTTATTGTCATTGTACAGAGCACAATGAAATTACAGTCCAGAAAAACCATTCAGAAGAAGACAACATAACAAACATAGGTGCTCTGGGTCATGCTGCCACTGACCCTGAACAAACCCTGCACAGAGCAAGGATCATCTTCATGAAGACATCATGAGGAGGTGCAACCCTCCTAAAAAAACTAAAAACCGCATAAGGACACAAGCCTGCAGACTGATTGCAAATTGAAAAATTCTGTRAAGAGGTGTCAAACAGGTGCTTTCGGTGTTTCATACTGACACCTAAAAGGGAGTTTGGACTTCTTGAATGACATCTACGTTAACTGTTTTGCAAAAGGGTGGAAAACCGTGTCAATCCAATGAGAACGGGTTAACGCATTGCAAGAGGTGCCTTCTGCTCTGCTGAGATGTGAGGCATTTGGGTGATTTTCACCTCATGCCTCCCTGCATATCTGGYAACGCTAATTAAACTCACCTGAGAAGGACTGGCTCATCACCTCACTGGCTTTATAAGGAAGACTTGAGTATCAGCTCTTCACTGAAGCATCATAACTGTTTAGTATGAACTCAGCCTGTGATTACATTTCTAGAGACCTTAGTATTACTTACGCTCGTTTTTCCGTGTACTTACAGTACCTGTTTTCAGACCCAAGGGRTTTTCTTGGAGATCACCTGATCCTGGTCACGCCAACCTGAGAAGTCTCGAGCCACTCACCTGTTCATGCGCTGCCACCTTGCCTCCAACACACCTGTAAATAGAGCACTCACCTGTRAAWACYCACTTTTGGATTTTTGGATACTGGACCTGCTCCTCCACACAAAACCTAAAGCTCTCACCYGTTACAAAACTACACCATCACCTCTCAGAAATAACTTCCTGGAATTACCTGTCAGTTTACTCACCTCTGCCAACTCTCTGCTTCCAGGTCCCGTTCCTTCCCCTGCTCCTGTATAAATAAATAAATATATAAACTTTGATTCTGGCCTCTGACTCTGTTTGTCCACTGGTATTTGCTCACTTYGACTTACCCTTCGAGAAAACCTGATAAGATGGTTATGACGAAGACTGAGAGGTTCCCATTTCCTTCAAACGGGTCAAACCAGTCAATAAAAACTGTAAGTGACTAAGAGAGCTTTCGAAATAGWTTTATTTTTAACTGCAGTTTTCTCACGAATACAGCACGATGCACTTTTCTTCAGAAAATTAATCGCTGGTATAAATGTTGAAGCTGAACCAGTTTGGCTGAAAAGGTGTCCYGGCACAGGACCGTTCACGTCAGTCCAAATACTCTGCCGAGTTCAAGTTCAAAATCTTTTGGGACACAGCCCATCTAAAGTAATTTAATTGTTTTAATCTTATTTTTAGGTTCCCAGCATGTTTTTCAGGACTAAGTAACTTTAAAAATTAGTTAATGGAAAAACTAAATTTCTGTTTACAGAACATTTTGTCATATATTTATAATCCTTATTTCATTACAGTTTATTGCCATTTTTAATCCTGCTGAGTTTGCACTTATGTAGAGAACCATTATCCATCTGAAAAATCACTTCTTCTTAACTTCAGCTTTCTGCTGATTAATTATAATGCATTTTATTTGTTAGCACCCTTTAAGACACATAACGACACTTTACAAAAGAAAAAAACTACAAAGTTACAGTCAAAAGAAAATATATTAAAATGAAAAACTAATAGAGGTGGCTAAGAAATGAAAGTGTGAAGGCTAACTTGAGTTGTTTTTTGAAGGTTGAAAGAGAGTCAATACTACGGATGTCTGGAGGGACAGAGTTCCAGGGTTGGAGAGCAGAGTGAAAATGGCTGTTTCCCATGGTTCCAAGAGGACAGGGACACAGTGAGGTGGATAGAAGAGGAAGGACGAAGTGAGTGGGAAAGGGAGGTAATGTGCCGTAGATGAGACAGATGAGAAGGGGCGAGGTTGTGGATGGCCTTGGATGTGTACAGGAGGTTTTTAAACTGAATTTTAAACATGACTGGAAGCCAGTGCAGGCCTGGGGTGATGTGTTGAAGTGAGGAGGTTTTGGTGAGCTGAAGTTTGGACCATTTGAAGCTTACTGAGGTGTCTATGATGACGGATGTTGTTGGTATCGAAGGCTGCACTCAGGTCAAGGAGGATGAGGAGGGAAAGCAGACCAGAATCTGCTGCCATGAGAAGAGCATTGGTTGTTTTCAAGAGTGCAGAAGAGCAGATTTTCACGAACTTTACAATTTACAGCTGGACAAATCATGACACTCACACCACTGTGTTTCAGAGCTGACCAAAGGTCCATGGTCTTTGGTTCTCCTCAAACATGTGGACTATTATTGTAGACAAACAACCAGGTCTTTATTTACTGTGTTGAGAGAAATTATTATTTAAAAAAGCGTTTTGTTTTACCGCATATTCTTTTACAAAACTTTCCTGTTTTTGTCAGCACAAAAAGTTGAAAGCTATCTGCAGACCTGTCAGTTTTCTTTTCAGATGAATTTAGTAGGATAATGGTTAAAATTCTTGGTAGATTTTTTAAATGTATTTATTTATTTATTTGCTTATTACAGACCCACAATGAAGTTACAGTTCTTTAGACATTGGCACAATAATACTACAAACTCTAACAAATAGAAGAACAAGTTTTTATTTACAGATTCACAAAATAACCATTTTAGCTTTTAAAACAGAATCTATGACTCTAAATTAACTCAGCTATAAGTAAGAGTAGCATAAACTAAAACCAGTTGCGTAAGTTTTCGCATCAAATTTCAGATTAATATTTTGTGGAGGCGTGTCAGTTTAAATACGGTTAACAAGTCAACCACTTCCATGACGTTTCTTTTCACAACAACTGATCTCCATTATGTTCTGCTGTCTTTCCTGAATGAYTAGTTAACTGATGGTACCAACAAAGGTCATGTAGGATGGTTTCTGTTTCAATTTAAGTGATTACATTCTTGTTCAGACTTAAAGTAACCATTTTTTAAATGAAAGAGTTTTTAGGGAGAACTGATTCCTCATTCACAACCTGAATAATGGGATTTGTAYTGAACACGAGACCTTAAACTGACCTGAAGGAATCTGTCTTTGTGTTGGAGAACAAGAAATGCAACACACCTACATACAAGCGAACACTCATTAAGGAGACGTCACCCATTGACTGTGACACATCATTTTTAAATTTTGTGAGTTTTTTCTTCTGTCTTCTATGATTGTTGGAGAAGACAGTGAACCATAGTTTGAATGAGAAAAAGACCATTTTCCGTCTTTTTCACTTTGGCTCTGAGCAGCAGCTTATTTTGATAGTAATGGAGATACTTTGCTGATTAAAACCATTTTTTAAAATGAATTTTTAGACTTTCAGCTGAACATTTTGCCTGAAAGTTTCAGTGCTTTTAATTTTCTCAATTATCCTACAACCAGGTTAAAATCTAATAACCTAAAGGTCTAGCAAACACATTTCACAGTTTTTTTTAACTAAAATCATCTGATGACATTAGAGGACGGAGTTGAAGCTATTTCAGTCAAACCTTGTGGGATCTCATGCAACATTGTGAGATCTCACTAAATTTAATGAGGATGACTCTTATGGCATGGTATTAGGACTTAAGACTTAGGAATTAGGACTATTGCACACCCAGAAGTGGTTACATCCATGTAGCAAGAGGCTATATCTATTCCAGAACTATATGATCTGATTAATAATAGGCCTGCACTGGTGGGTGACCARCCTAGGCATAATAAAAGTTAGCCTCTCCAGTGCTAAAGCCAGTCTATTCATGTTAATGGATAGCAGAGGGAGTAGACAGTCCAGTGGGCAACCCTTTGCATGCTAGTCTCAAGCTTCTCCAATGCTAACCCCATTTGAGCAATATCCTCATTTCCCAGTGCCGGACACTMAGTTASCAGTGCTGGCCTATCATAAATCAGTATCAGCAATCTGTTAGCATAGACAAATAAATAGAAACAATGGCAGACATTTCTATAAAACCCATCCATCGCAACAAAACCCATTTTAGACAGTTCCATTGGGAGGGCAGAACATTATCAAATCTGTCTAAAGTGAACAATAGTAGAGATCAGGTTGATATTCATCCTTGAAAAGCTCAGCAGATCCACTGAATCTCTGTAAAACAGCCAACATCAGCAACAAGATGAAACTTCTGATATTACAGGTTGGATAAGCAAGCAGATGTTTGACTTTAAACACACAAAAAAGTCCATTTTTACAGAGAGCCGTCTCATCGGTGTTATCCTTCATTCAGTGTTTTCTAGCTTCACACAGTGTGTAGTTGTTACAGCTTGAAGGCTTATTCACACATGGGGGGAAAACAGTCAAACAATCCCGTGGTTACTTCCTCTGGCTTCAGGCCAAATACGTTCATCTCATCGAAGGGCTGAGAACTGATAGAAAGGAGGGCTGAAGGTCAAAATCCTTGATTTCTTCCCCTCAGTGGGGCTTTCTGTTTTTGCACGTGTGAGTTTGTTGACGTCTCCCGAACTTCAGTGACATTTACTGGACAGAGACCACCTGTACCGACAGACATGGGTTTCATACTGTATGATTTTGTACAGACACTGTTTCTTGATGGTAATAATGTGAAACGGTATTTCATTTATGCACGAGGTTCTTAGAGAAYTAATCAGTGCTGCCAGAGTWTTTTGGCTGCTTGAGAATCATCAACAAGTGAGGAAGAAAATGTCCCACATAGACAGGTGTGGGCCAGGTCTGGCAATATTGGCGCTGGTTTTGAAAACGGCATGCCACAGCTGGCCCAGTTGTGGTTTGGTTTATGTGGTGATGGCCCGTGCATGCATGGACCACCTCTGGCAAACCATGGGCCACCAAAGGACCGTCATTCTTTGTGGTATCTGGGCCGAGCGTTAGAGTCTTAGTGCCTTGTGTGGCCAGAACTAGGCCAAGACAAATTTTACTACGTGGGTTAGGTAAGAATGAAACAAAAATAATTTTAGCTACCAAGTTTTTAGAATGAAAAAAATCCAAAAAAGTCCAAAAACACTACGGTAGTTACCAAATCTAAAGAGAAACCGCTGTGAATTTAGCATTAAATCCATATTTCTTTTTTTTTTTTTCATTTATATTTTACAAAAGTGTTTCACTACATCTTGTTTTTATGTTAAAAAAGGTAATGACAAAAAAAACCTTCAAACTCAGTTAAACTGCAATCTCTTTTAACACTTTTTTCAAAAAGAAAACTTAATAAATATACTTTTAATCCAGTTTCCCTTCACCAATTTTGTCTGTTCAGGTTTACAGGAGTCTTATCTCAGCCGGTTGAATCAGCTGACAGAAAATTATGCTGATTGTTTTAGYAGCATGTTTATTCTGAGTTTCACTAACAGAGCCTTTAAACCCTGTGACTACCTCTGGGACAAACCAAGCCCAGATCTGTCCTGTGCGCTCACTGACAAACCACCAACGAAGGTGCATCGTTCCTGCCTGGAAGAGCAAAAAATGGGGAAAAAGCAAATAATGTTTTTGACCTGAAGCAACTGAGATTCTTTAGAAAAAGACATAAGTATTTATTACATTCACAATAAAAGCTGGTGTAATGTCAGCTCTCGGATCGTTTGCACCATTGAGACTTTGTACTGTGAGGAGAGCATCTTGAGTCAGTAAAACTACAGCAAACTGTGAAGTTAGGGATTGCCCTCCAGTGGCCAGATGAGAGGCAATTTTATTGAAACGAGGTCAGGAATTACAATTGCCCAACTCTGCATTCAGACCCACAAATTATTGTACATGGAAAAAAAAAACTTTTAAAATCTGAAAACAGTCAGCAACAAACACAGTAAAATACACTTAAAACACATTTTATAACCCTTAAACTTTGTAATAATTTTTTTTAATTACTACTTGAGTTTGAGAGTTTACGCTGTGTTTGCATTACTGAAAAATGRATCTTGAAAGCTTAAATGATGCCCATGTTGTAATCAAAAGAGCCAGAGTCTTGGTCCAGAGCACATCTGGATCCTCTTTGTGGAAATTTCCTTTGTGCTTATGAAACAAAAGTCTTCTAAGCCCTAATGTTGCTCAGATGGAACATTTAATCAGATTTCATGCTGCCATCAATTGTTTCATTCAAAAGGTTTCTATTTGAATTAAAGTGAAATCTCCGGGGACCCTCGGGAACCTTTAAGGGGAGATTTTGTGAGTCAGCAGGAAAGGATTTTTAAATTCTTCATTTCACCTTGAGGCAAATTCTTCCATGTTCTTTGTGTTTACGACCCACAGCTCGGCTACATATGTTTGGTGGTGGGGGGGTATCACCTTGACCTGGATGCTCTTTGCCTTGCTTTTCCTGTCTTTGTCTGGCTCAGTTTCCTCCGAAGCATTTTCACATCTTCTTTGTTGTTCCAGTTCCCCAAAGTAAAGAAACTTTTTCATGACAGTCTACCGTACGGGTCTTTTATGGCTTCTTTCAAAAGCTGCACCGCTTCTTTGACCTCTTATTGTGGCCGTTTTAAAAGGACGTCATTGAACGTAACTTAAAAGTTTAGACGTCCCAGTTCTCCGAGCGTCATTTAATCAGTCTCCTTGCATGCTAAGAGCCTCTGCACAGACACTTGGGCAGCTTTAACTGCACTGTGTGTCCCAGGTTGATCACCGTACCGTGGGAACTGTAACCGTGGAGCGCAGAGCCATTGTAGCACAGGCGCTGTCAGGAGAGACAGCGGGATAAAACGCCAATTGTCCCACGGCACGAACCCAATTCATTTGTCTGGCACACAGCGGCCTGTTCTTGTAACACCACCCGAGTCAACCTGAACCTCATCAGGTCAGAAGCATCCGATTGTTCCTGTGTGGGGCCGGGYGCAGCAGCGAGTACGAGACTGAAGGCGCTATTATTCGCCCACTCCATTTACCTGAACCGTCTCAATTAAAACCTGCACGAGAAGGGAACAAATGGAGTCTTTGAGTCTCCAAGTGCGAGACTTAGAACCTCTTCATTGGTTTTCACCTGTCTTTTTGTGAAAGGGGGTTAGAATTTCAGCAGGACTTTTACTGTCTAAGTCACAAATAACGAGTTTATTATTAAGTAGGTTTCAATTACACAAGCGAGCCAATCCCTGCTTAGAGATTCTTCTTTTTGAAAATTACATAAACTGCTCCTAACTCATGCAAATTCAGGACAGATGAGTGCATGCAGCTGTATCAAATGGACAAACATAATGCTTCAAGGTTTTTAGTCTAACAGATCCCTGGCACGTCACCAAAAACAAATATGGTTTCCACCAGTTATCAAAACTGTTGTCAGACATATTGAGCTTCTTGGTTATTTTTTATTCTCTTATACCTTGTTTTGTTGTTTGTTTTTACCTTGTTTTTTTGTTGCATTGTCACTGGTGGCTGAGGAGAGGTGTAATTTCTTCCACTTCTAACTCACTGGTCCTCAAGACGTCACCTTGTTGAATGAACAAATAAAATGCGACGGATAGATTAGGAATAAATAACTTTCTAAACTGTTATTCATCTGACTGTAAAATCTGCTTAAACTGCTGGTCTTCTGCTCAAAGACCACTGAGACGTTAACTGGGTTTCAGGTTGAAGAGGACCAACTGCAAATAAGACACATGAAGGATAAACAGAAAAGATGTCTTCAAAAATTCCACTTTTACGTCTGCATGCATCGGCCATGTTACTCTTCAAAAAGAAGCAAAGAGACAGTGATTGTACACAATGTATAAATTACTCAAAGGATCGGGAATAATCAGATTAAAAGGTTTATGAGAACTACACATTTTGCTGCCTTTTAATCTTGTAAGCATACCCCTTACAGATGTATCATTCCAGTTTTCTGATTGACTCGMTCTGCGGGGTGAAGCAGAAGGATGTCCGTTCATGTCCAAACCCATCACAAGACACATCAAACCAGCTCTGACACAATGACCACCATCCCAGAAGCCCGTTGTCTGAAGCCGGGGCGATAATTGGAGCTGGCTCCGCTTCCTGTTTATGTAAGAGGGACTTGTTTATTCCTAATGAATCAGTTTTGTTCAAAAGCTCCATCGGGTCTCAATCGCGCCATTATCAGGCGAGTGGGTAAAGCTTTTTTATAAACTTCAAAAGTAAGAAGCCTCCTGCTGGTGCACTGGGAAAAAAACTGAAATATAATCATTCTGCACCAGCAGTGGACTGGAAAACAGGGAGGAAAAGACCCGCTGTCCTTTACTGTGCACTGAAAATGGTTACACAACATCTGCTCTTCCGTAAATTGATGAAACACATGAGGATGCTTTGATCCTGAAGCAGTCGATGCTACAAATAACACAAGATCATTTCAACACCGTCCATATTGTGGTCCCACTGACCTGTTCTCATAGGATTCTGTGTGCCACATGACGACAAAGAGGAAAACCAACCAACGCACAGTTGGGTCATTGTTCTGGACGGGAGGCCCGGTGTGTGCAAAGCTGTGTCACGGTCATAGCTGTAAGCCTCTTTGGTGGTACTTTCTGCACCAGGAGATGCTGAAACGTGCAGAGCTGCACGTCTTTTTGGTCAGTGCTTCATTATGGTGAACAATCAACTTCTCTTCTACACCAACAGTTTCCTCTCCTGAGAGTCTGTCTCTGTCCTGATTACATCCCCAAAATCAACTTTTTTTATATGTAAAACCACAAGAACCTCAATCCTCCTTAAGCTGGTGTAAAATCCTTYTGTTCCAAGTGTTTGACTTTTCTTTAGCATTAATAATACGTTTCTCGTAAAGTGGGTGTGTAATCCAGATTTCCCAACATAGCACCCGTTGGGTCAAGCAGTTTATCTCAACGTGCGTTAGGAGCCTCAGATCTGCAGATGAAACGCCTGGAACCACTCATGCTGTGGAGCTCAGCTGAGTGAAAGAGTCTTTATGGCTCCTTGATTAGGCTGATCTCACCACCATGCCGACTGGGTCACACGGCTAACCCGTACGTCAATCAAACGCCACTGACGCCTGGCAGAGCCTCTGAGCTCACCCACAACGGAACGTTTCCTTGTTTTGGACGAGAACTGGAGAACCTTTTATTATAGTTTACTTGCTGAGATTATTTTCAACTTTTAATTAAAATTTATTTTTTGTTGTTCTTATTCTTTAGCAAATTATCACTTTTCTTAAATTGTTCTGTGATTATTAATTAAAATTTATTTTTTGTTGTTCTTATTCTTTAGCAAATTATCACTTTTCTTAAATTGTTCTGTGATTATTTCCATCCATTCTTGATCAGTCCTTTAAATATCTAATCTTGTGTTCTGATATCCGAACCGACAACTATGATTTATATCACAGTTCTGACAATTATCTCAATTTTAAACCAAACAGAACAGATGGTTTAGGTTCAGAGTTGTTTATTATTTATGATCCAGCTCTAGAAGTCCCTAAACATCAACCAAAACCTCCCAAAAGTCATCAGAAGATGACCGATTGGTCCTTGTATCTCGAGTCTATAACTTCTGCTTTATTTGTTCTTGTATTTTTTGAAGCCAGTTGATGTAAAAGTTGACTTTTGGCACCTCTTAAAACCTATCAGTAGCTGTCTGTCTATAAATTCTGTTTTATTTGTTTTTGAATTTGCCTGAGATATTATTTGTTTGAGTGCTCGATTTGACTGTAGGTTGATACAAATGAGTTTTATGGTCAAGTCATCAAGAAAAAGAAGCAAAACCTAAACCACAGTTGAGGTTTTTACATGTTTTAAAAGCAGCCAATTTATTGAACAGAAAGTTTTGTAAATGACGTTTTACCCCAACTRAATGCTCATTTAAAGACATGAAGTATTTTAAGTTGAAGGGGTGTGTTTTGGGTCTATAAACAGTGGCTGTAAGTTGCAGGTACGAAACCCCTGCAGCCCCCCGCCYCAGTGGTTGTCAGGAAGGACATCTTGAGTAAACATTTCGCTCACTGTGGTGACCCCTGATGAAAAGAAAAAGGTTTTGTTTAGTAAACAAAAATATAATATTAATTATGACTTGATCAAATTCTGGGTTAGTAGACGGTATCATATTAAATCACCACCTTAAAAGGCAAACATTCATTTATTTCCTGTTTGTTAGCAAAATATCTTATGAGCGMTCAATGCTGTACCTCAGTCGGTTTTACAGATATTGAGCTAAGATTTGGTGTGATAGTAGCTGAGAGGCACCCTTATCACATACTCTGAGCTCATATGATCTTTATAACCCCAGCGTGCAAACCAGGTGACAAGCATTTTGTCACAGGTTGCTTGTTTCATCAGCTCAGAATCAGAATAATTTGGTTTCCGTGTAAAAGAAATAAAGTCAAAAAATTGTGTGACATGTTTTACAGCTTGTTGTATTAAACTGTAAATGTACAACATTCATAAGTCTGAYGAAATCTGGTTACGCAACTAAAAACATCACTATTTTTTATCTTTAAAATGTAACATTTTGTGCAAGAGACCACTGGTGTAGAGTTAAAAGATTTTGACCTGTGCAAGAAAAATAAATGTATAAGTGAAAAATTAACCGCAGCGACTGTTTTGTTAGTGTCAGAGTTCTAAGTAAGCACTTTGCAGCGATGATGAAATGACTTTGTTCTTCCTGAGTCAGCCGTGACGACGACATGAGTCAAGGAAAAATAGAGGAAACAGCTGCTTCCTCAGCTTTGACTTGTTTAAGCTTTTCTTGAAATTGTCAATTTTACAATCGTGTCACAATCGTGTCACAGCTTTGAAGTTGTAAACACAAGTTTGACCAAATATTTATTGCATACAAGACGTATTACTGAAATTTATTTGATTTAAAAAGTTGGTAGAGTCAAAAACATATACAGTAAATATGTTCAAATTGGCAAACTGAACAAAAAATGCATACATAAAAAACTTTTTTTCCAAAACACGTTTTTTTTCTTTTTTATTTTTTTGACTCACTGTGTTACAGTGATCATTTTAATGACACTAAACTAAAAGATGTTTTATTGGATTCTGAATGTCAATAAATAAAGAGAGCATAAAACTATATTTGTAGGATTTGCTATTTCACAGTCCTGCAGCTACAGCCTTCAGAGTAACACCAAAAAAAAAAAAAAAAAAAAAACTTGTACTTCTGAATGGTCAGGTGTTAAAACAGCATGTTCTGTATTTTCTGTCCTTTCTTATCAGCACCTTGATTACACATACTGAATGTGTGGTTTCCAGTTTCACATGAATCTGCTTTTTTTTCTCTCACTTTGTTTGGCATCAGGTGAACTCTCATTAAAGGATCAGGCACAGAACAATGTGAAGTTTCGTCAGGGCACCTCTTTTAAATCATTTGTCATTACCAAAGCTCTGTTTAATTTAYTTTATCTTTTCAGTTTTTCTGAGTTGCCACAGTTTGTAAGACTTGGACATGAAACACTCAGTAATCCGGACCGAAGAGTAGTGACAACTGCACGATTAATAATTAATGATGATAATCAGTTAACAGTTTTTTTTTTAATCAGGACAGCTTGGTTACATAATACATAACCTCTTTGTTAAAGTTAGATTTTATATTCTATTCTATTAATTTTTAATACTATATAAATAGTTGGTTTTAAAAAAGGAAACATTTAAACTTTTACTATGATTGCATAAGAGCCATCCATTGTTTTTAATCATCATCATACATGAGACACTCAAGTCCTGCTTTTCTAGTCTAGATTYGGCTCTTCTGTATTTGATGTGAAATGTGACAAACAACACGGTACAAAGAACATATTTATTTGATTTTTTTTTCACTCCAAAATAAAATAATGAGACAAACAAGACTTTTGGGAACGATATCCACCGAAAGCTGAAAAAAGAAAGTAGACCAGTCATGAGACAGGTGACAGGATGCCTCACTGAACGGGTCAGGYGTTCGAACAATCCGCTTGTTGTGGCGACAAAACATGTTCTGAGAGTCGCTTTTATGACACTGCATACAGGTTAACTTCAAGAAAAGTCTGACGAAAGCACAACTGATTGCAATAAACGCAAAAACATGGAGCAGTTCCACGGGAGATTTACAGCCACACGAGGAGAATTATGTTTTATTATTCGTACCGTCGCTGGTTAATGGGGCTGCTGACTCACTGTAAAGTCAGGGGCTGACAAAAAAGAAAGGTTAACCTGTGAGATCTTGACACATGCATCATCTTTGACAGCACAACACAGACAAAACGGGTTTTAATYACCAGCTCGTGATCAGAACAAGATCGTATCTCAAACCAGTCATTTGAATTAAGCAGGCCTTCTGTTTCTCCTGCGTAATGACAAATAAATCCCAGATGAATAAATCCATCAATGACTAGAATCTGACTTTGAGGAGAAGCGGAGCAGTTTTCTGTCAATAGAGTTACGGTTTATGATTYAAACGTTTATAAATGAAAGCATCTTTATTATGAAAAATGAAAGTAGCTTTCTTTGAAGGAATCACTTGCTACATTTTCATTACATGTTTTTAAAGGAAAWTTTTRTGTGATCTGTTAGCACTTGGAKTATGCGATGGAGACAACTCTCAGCTACTACCACATCAAGTTTTAGCTCAGCACCTGGAAAAAGAACTGAGTTRTTACCCATGTTTCTGTTTTGTAAAGACAATTAGCTTTGACAGTCAATGAATGATTCAAAAAATATTCAGTTTAAGATATGCATCAAAAGATTATTTTTAAAAGGTTTTATTAAAAATTTCCCATTGGTTCATGAGATATTTTGCTAACAGATAGAAGGGGTTGACTCAACTCATTAATGGCAGTGTTTTCAACTAAAAAATTTGTGCCATCTGTTAAGTTTTATGGTTGATTCTCGGCTACTATCATACTAAAATTTAACTCAATATCTTCAAAATTGATGKCGTTATTCCCATTTTAATATGTACTAAGGTTGAGGCTCTGAGGCGGCCATCTTGAAAAAGGCTGACCCCGAAAAGTATTCATTTGTAGRCGTGGTTCAAATGATTGCATTCTGAGAGTTTCCTTAAAATCAAGTCAATTGTTTGTGAGATATTTTGCTAACAGACAGATAAATTCCTTTTATGTCAAAACCAGCAAAAGAGCTTTTAATTTTTACATAAAAGATCTTCAAATCAAGCTTTTTATCTTGCAGCTGACGCGTTAATCTTGTGCATAATGTCTCTTTGAGGCAACAATCTTACTTTATTGTTTCCACTTTAATAGTGCCTGTGACATCAATTTTTTAAATTTAAAATGTATGCATTTTTGGAAAGATATTATTGATAATATATTGCAAAAAAACTCATGCTGCTGAGATGAACTGTTGTTGAGAAATTTGCATGTGAAGTAACAGGAAGTGATGTCATAGGGGAACGTCTGCATGTTAACAGAGTGTTGCTACAATAACTAATAACACAGACTGTAGAGAAGAATCTGATGTTTCTTTAGTGAGAGATGAAGTCGGAGTTCAAATAATGTTTCAAAAACAAAGAGCATAAAATTATCTTTCTGAGTTCCCCTTTGATGTCAATTCCTGATTCACTTTGGCTGAGCCAAGTTCAAAAGAAAATATGCCAGCTATGTGTCAAAGTGGGTAAAACCATTTGTATTACATCAAATTTTCTGAAGTATAAAGTTGTTTTCTTAAACCTTTTGCAATTAAATTATATGGCGTAAGGCGCTTAAAGAAAACAAACACCTGTGTGCAAAAGTACAGTTTGGTACTCATCAGTTCAGCCTCGGGTCAACAGATTTCCAGGTTTTCTTCGGAGGAACACCGAGGTCATGACAATACCTGGAAAGCAACAGGATTTAAAAAGGAACAAATGTCCTCATTTGTTTGCTTTAAAGCAGGACGGCTAATGGTTGGTTGTTCTTGGGTTCATGGAAGAATTCAATGTACTGACCTTAATTTTTGTCATGGTGGGGTGTTTCAACGTGACATGARGAACAATAGAACCAAGATGAGGGGGAGGGCAGCATGGACAATACCAAAGCTGTCCCCCCCGTTAGGCCCCATGCCACATAAAGATCTGATTCTCCCCGCTTTCCTTGCTTCTCGTTGGCTGGCCTTGCAGGGTCGAGCACAGTGGCCCCAGTATTTCCCTTCCTCTGCTGAACTTGTGTGTGGGGGACTCTCCTCCAGCCTCTGCGGCCATTCTAGGGGAGCTTGTTGTTCAGGAGCGCCACTGTGGGAAAGTCATTAAAGTGTAAAAGCATCCCCCTTCTGTTTTGTTTGTGAAGGACTCCTGGAAGAGGCTTCCAATAAAGCGCTGGATAGTAATGAGGGCTGACACTGACTGGCCACCCCCACGGTGCCGTGTGTGCCGATGGCCGCTGCCATGGCAAACCCATTCAGTGCGAGAAAAACCAGCTTGTTGGACGCACCGTGAGAATGGCCTCCCTCTTCAACAGGTGGCCAGTGTCGATATCCACCAGCTAAGCTACTAAACCAGGGTTTTTTTTTTCCCCTGCAGGAAGAGCTTTCTCCGTCACTGCTGGAGGTTTTTCTTCCACCAACAAACATCAGAGAAACAGTAGACCCTTCCAAACAGAAAAGATTTGAAGACCTTTAATTTTGAGTCTCCTGTCACTGATTAAATCATTATACTTCCATGTAGTGTGTGTTTAGGTGGTGCAACAGACAGTGCACAGGTAAGCAGAAAGTTGCCCTACATCTTTCCTGGCATGCTATCAAAGCATTACAAGCCCACAAAAGCAGACGTAAGAGCRTGCTGGGATAAAGGTGCAAGTGGCTGTTTGGACTTTGTGTTAATGTCAAAGGATCACCTGTTCTGCAAGAACACATGTTCAACAGCTGCATATAAAACTATTAAAGAGATGACTCACTCTCCTTGTTTGGAGGAGACCGCCGTGATCGCGTTGGAGCAAAGAGAGCTGACATATCAGTGCGATGCTGATTTTCTGTGACAGTCCCCCCTCTACACACATGCACACAAACRCAAAATGTGGAGCACAGAAACCAGTCTGAAGCAGTCTGCTGAGCAGGAGTGGGGTTTTTCTCATTCATTGTGTCGACCCTGTTCCTGTGATGAGCAGGGGCCTCTGCKGGAACCCAGCGGTACTGCATGTTGTTTACCAAAACTTTGGACACCTCAGGAGAAGTGATTTGGTTTCTGTCACCGGCTCAGACCTCTGTCCCTCTCATTAACAATCCCAGAGGTGGTCCAATTATACAGCCTCATCTGATCAGATGTGTAGCTTTTATCAAAGAAATGATGTGAATTGTAGATTTTTTCCTCTCTCGTCACATGCTGTTGTTTTGATTTGCTCATAAAGCCGAATGTTTGACAAGTCATCACCCTCAAATATTGRTTCACTGATGTTCTATTTTTAGATTTGAGCATTGATTTGCCCAGTTAAACAGAGGGTCAGAAGCATGAGGGTGAACTTTACAAAACCGATCAGGACACCTAAAGTTGTTAAATATTGATATTTTCTCTGGAAGCTAAATCCCCATGGTTGCCGTGTTATTGGCATCTTGTTTATCCCCCATACCGGCGATGCAGTGACCCCTCTCACAGAGTCCACGTATAGATTTGTAAAACGTTTTGCAACAGAATGACTGCTTGAATATGCTTCTATTGACTGAGAGTGAATGGAGGAACTCAGAACTGCAAGGGATCCATTGTTGGCGCTCATTGGTATGCAAGGCTCTATGAGCGTTACTATAAGGACTATTAGGATTTTGGTAGATTTTGATCAAAAATTCAACCCTACTTTATCTCTGGATCTTCTCTCCAGCTCTGCGAGGAGCTTTCTTCTCTRCGCTGAGACCAGCTCAGAGGGTCAAGCGAGTCACGAGGTCCGCCCATACACGGTACACAGAGAACCAAAACAAGCCTGTCAGCGCTCAGAATGAAGYCTGCTTTGTGTGTTCGGATCAGATCAGCTGTTTAAATATGCGCCCTTGAGCAAACACTTGAGGRGACAAACCCCCCCACCTGAGCACAATGGCCAGTAACAACTCCACCGCTTCCATTCTTTGATACTCTGGGAGCACAGCATCRTCCCTGAGAAGTTTGTGCTGCACGTTGTCGTCTAATCAATGGCCTGGAGCAGCTTTTGGTCTGAATGAATGGGTTCTGTGCACAGGCTGCMTGAGCAGAAGCAGACTGAACTGGGTTAGAGTTATATAACCCATGTCTGCTCTCATGGATCCTCAGCAGCTC